TTATGAGTGTGTCAGCCTATTTATAACATAATCTCCACCCTGATAGAGGAAGGGGTGAAAGTGCTAACCAACTGGTTTCTAATATTATTTAAGTACTTGAAGATAAAGTATCTTAAAGATATTGTTACCTGCAAAGTTCGATACCCTAAAATTACACCTAAACCACTTACATATAATATTTGTAAAAACCAACAAAATTGAATATTTGAATTTCCAACTTAATGTTTCAAGGAAACGGCAGGTAAATGTACCCTGGTCTGAACAATATATACATATATTAATCTACATACAAAAAAAAATGTGACGTGATACGTTAAAACAAAGTTTATATTTGCAAATTATAGACCAACATTTACATACTTAAGATAAAATACAAAAAACTTTTTTATCGCAGACGTGTTATTTAACAAACAGGTATTTTATTGGCGTTTTAAAAAATCCGCCATTACAATATTATTTTCGCGAACCTCCTCTGCAAACACTGCCAATCCCCAGGGGTTCACGAACCACCGGTTGGGAATCACTGATCCACCGAGCGGCATGGCCTAGAGGTCTAGACCATTGCTTAGCATTCGGGAGGACGCCGGTGCAATTCCGGGTCCGTCTGCCTTGGTCCAAGTTTTTCTGTGGTTTCCTTGGATCACTTAGGTAAATGCTGGGGCAGTAATACTCCACAGATAATCTTTCATTATCTTCTGTCTTCATTTCGTTCGTCTAATCTTTCTCACCCGAACTACCACCCACCCATTCCCACGATTCCTGAAAGGAGGCTGAAGAGGGCCTTCCGCCCTATCTTCCAGCATAGTCCGGAGGGACTGCCCGCCCACCAGCATTACTGGCTGGTGGGAATGAAACACCCAAAAGTTTTTTTAGTTTTAATCACTGATCTAAGTAAACGATGACAGTTAGACGAAAAATGGTTTTGTTCTTGACCCTCGAGAATCTAAAATACCCCTAACACCACGGATGGCACATATTCTAGGAACAGCTATGAATTTAAGTCAGATTTTTTTTATAAAAGGGAAATAAGTGATTGGGTATCCGTTGTTTAGTAATAAGTAGAAACAAATTAATATAACATAATTTAAAACAGGAAAAAAACAAACTGTAGCATGCAATATAACCAATAATGCATAAAAACACGAGCGCACTTTTTCCATTTTTGTAAATACGTTATTATAATTTCCATGACAATTTTCTTGCTCTAATAATGTTCAAAAAACAATCTGAACACGGGTCAATAAATGTAACGCCCAGTACGTGGCAAAACTTATTCCACCCCGTATTTGTCATTTAAATACATAACGCGTCAACCACTGGTTCCCGCTGGCTACAGAGGCTCTCGCCTAAACTATATCCTTTTTGACCTGCCACAAATTTCAGGATATCGATCGGCATCCTCTTAAGGTAGTGAGATCAGGGTGACGAACGCATCTCAATTCTCAATTGCGGTTAGGACATTTTTGTACTTGTCCACACACTGCGCTCTTGTCTCTTGTCTACTCTGCACGTGTTGCTACTAATATCTTAAATTGAAAGTAAAAAACTTTTGAGTAAACCATGGAATATTATCGTACTTGCTCACTAACATAATTGTTCTTGTTGTATGTTATATTACGTTAGATCCAACGAAATAAATAGTTTAATTAGTTTCGTGCATTATTAATTACACCACCCTCATTCTCGATATTATGTGTGGATATTCAGCTATGTCTTACACAAATAATTTAATGCACCTTCCTAACGTTTGATGTAGGAATGCCTTGTCGTTGTTTGGAGGGTAGATATTACTATAATAGCGAAGGTAATTCAATCAAATTTCACTTATTTTCTAAAAGGGCTATACGGGTCGTCTCTAAAGGTATTTTCCGTCATTCTGGGTCCGACCAGTAGAAATAAATTGTGATGACTGCATGTGATTGTCAGCTTAGTGTTTTCGTCATAACAAATATCACGAAACAAAAGATAAAACAACTTTAGGGATAGATATACAGGGGCAAAAGATTGGTGTGCTTAGATTTGTAGATGATATAGCAGTGTTAGCAGCTGGCAAGGAGAAGTTAGGGATAGCTTTAAATAAAATGAAAGCGGTATTGACAAAGCATTGCGTAAATATGAAAATAAATAAAATTAAACTAAAAATTTTGGTATGCAATGGAAGAAAAGGTAGATCAAGGGTAAATATAAAAATAGGAGACAGAAAATTAAAAGAAGTCGCTGATTTTCGGTATCTAGGAAGTCAGATAATTCAGGATGGAAGGAGCAGTATAGATGTAAAACAAAGGATAGCGTAGGTTCTTTAAGTATCTTCTATGTTTGCGAAAGGTTAATTTGGAAATTTGAAAAAGGTTGATAAAGGTGTATAACAGGAGCCCGGCTTTGTACGGTTGCGAAACGTAGACGGTGGAAAAGAACAGGTTAGATACGTCCAACCAGTTTTCGAAAAGTGTTACGGGCGAATGATGAAGACACTGTAGACAAAGAAAGTTATAAAAGAAGAGGTATTATGGAAGTCAATAAAAAATAGGCGAGATAGGTTGTTAGAACACCTTCTTAGGTAGCTAGTTAGACATTAGAAGCAGACATAGGAGTTAAGATCCGTAGAAGTAGACTTAGATTAGATTACCGCTTTTACCGAGCGGCATGGCCTAGAGGTTTAGATCATTGCTTAGCATTCCGGAGGACGCCGGTTCGATTCCGAGTCCGTCTGCCTCGGTCCAAGTTTTTCTGTGATTTCCTTGGATCACTTAGGCAAATGCTGGGGCAGTAATATTCCACAGATAATCTTTCATTCTCTTCTGTCTTCATTTCGCCCGTCTCAACTTTCTCACCCGAACCAGCAACCATCCATTCCCACGATTCCTGAAAGGAGGCTGAAGAGGGCCTGCCACTCTACCTTCCGGCATAGTCCGCAAGGAATGAAACACCCAAAAGTTTTTTTTTTTTTAGATTACCGTTCACAAATAGTTCTGGATGTGGGATGTTCTAGTTTTAGGGAAATGCGAATATTACCTCAGGATAGAAAAGAGTGGAGTTGAGTGTCCAACCAGTTTTAGGATTGACGGCCCTCTAATGGTAATGAATCACAAAATCTAGTATGCATAGCAATAAGTGTCAGTAGATCACTAATTTTAGAAACACTCAACGTCCTCTTTTTGTAGAATATTTGGGTCAAACGTAGAATGGCGATTAAGAGCATTGAATGTATCGATTCAGCTTCAAATCAACCTTGGTCCAATTTCTTAAGGATATTTTAAGGAGTGTGAATATTTCGGCTGAATGCGTGAAATTTTGGAAAATCATAAGTTCACTTTTTGTTTAATGTGACATTTGAAATGATAATGTTTTTCGATATGTTCAACTGTAATTTTTTCCAACATCTATATATTTTTTTTGATATAGAATAAACATGTATTTAATTTTAGATTTTCGAGTGGTAATTAGCGTTTCAGAACAATGAAATTACGTTTCTGTAATTGTTTACGTCTAGCTAGTTCATTGAAATTGACAAAATTCATTAAAACTAAAATAGCCTTCGTTTTGAAAATAGAAAATAGGATAAAAAAAGTAGAAAGAGGAGACTGTGATAAATATTAATTAAAAATTAAAAGGAAGACTCACCCCTAATTACCACAAAAAACTTTATTTGAGCAGACATATTTAAGAATATTATTCGTATCATTATTGGCCGGTTAATATCTATCATAAATATTCAAAAATTCATCATATTTACCGAACTTACTGTGGTAATATATCTATAATAACTGGTAATTATGCATAACCACTACATTAATCACGTTTACCATAACACATACATCGTTTAAGGAACTAAATTTAATTGCCCTAAAACACGCGACATTCTTTATTTTGTAATTAATTTCGAAGCTGTTTTAAGAATATGTAATTACGATTACTACTGATGCTATTAAGTGGTAAAACAAATCCTAGAATGTAATAAAACCGTAGGGGCATATTGGGCATTCATTTTTAGGGGTTTGCTTTCCAGTTCAGTTGATTTAATATTTGGTATTTTGTTGTTTGTTGCTATTTTGTAAATATTTATAAGACAAAAGAATCGCAGTTACTGATTCGTGTTTACCCAAATAACGCACTTTAAATTGTTGTTTTTGAAGGATTATATAATTGTATAAGTACATATGGGTATTCAGACTATCCCG